GAACGAGCAGATGCCATTGGGCTACACTAGCACGCAACAGGGATGAATGGAGACATTACTGGAACCCGCTCGAGCAAATCGATGAGTAACGGGATGTCAAGTGATCAAGTTTAATCTGTAAAATAGTCAAGCTGACCTCTAATAGTACATTTTCCTTGATTTTGAAATTAAAATTTTCATTTAAAACAAAATTAGAGTAATATTTTATCATCCAAACAAATACACTTTTAAAATAAAATGTTTTATTTTCCTTTATTTGTGCATTTAAGGAATAATGAAAAGACACTCATTTCATGTGCAATTGATTGAAATAATCTGCTGCCTCATAATTTCAAATCGTTTAAAAATTTGGTTGCTTTATAGGTCCTTACTTTACATCTTGATGGTTATTCTGGTTAGAGTAATGCATGTTCTCTCCGTAAATTTTTTAAATTGATAGTTTTTTTTAACTTTTATGAGATTAAAATTTGATTGTTAAACACTTATATTCCAGGTGTTAGGGTATGTAGTATATCCTAAATATTGTGAGATCACAATTCTTATTTTTCTGATTAAATTTTATTTTCAACAAATATTTTAAAATGTTTATAAAACATTTAAACATTTTTAGCATTACTATTTTAGTTTTTGTTATTTTTTGATTTTACTTATTTTCATTGTCCTGTGTAAAATGCAATGTCTCAGTGTAACATATGAATTATAATAACTGAAATATTTTTAAGAACCTTTTATAATGTAGAAATTTTCTAAGCTTAATTTCTGTTTAGAGAATATGCAGTTATTATAGTCATTTTAATGAGGTATCACATTGAGTAAGATACTTTGTCTTTATTATGCTGTGCGGGCGAGATACCCAGTACGTATTCGATATGCCAAAAACAGTAACAAGTGGACCTGCTCGAGCAAATAGATGAACAATGGGAGGACAGTGACAGTGACAGTGATCCTTATTATTATGACCTTTTAAATTTTTACAAAATAGCTTTAACATTTTTTACACTTGACCTCCCATACTAGACATGGTGAAAGGAACTTTTATATTTGAAAGAAATAAAAGTACACAAAAATATGAGCAAGTTAGTAGAGTCAGAAAATTTATGAATCTATTTCAGAGCAGAAGTTAAATAATCACCACATGAAGTATAAAGGAAAAATAATAATAATAATTATTATTATTTTATAAGTGAATCACTGTCGGGTACAGTTACAGACTTGCAAAGTTTAGTATTTGCATTTCAGTCATACAATGATCGAGTACCCATCCCTCTACCAGTGCCATTTTCCACCACCAATGATCGCAGCATCCCTTCCACCTCCCCCACCTCACCCCCCATCCGTCCCCCAGCCTCTGAAGCAGGGCATTCCCTTTTGTTCTCTCTTTAAAAGAAAAACTATTTAAAATAACTACATTTTTACTTCGGAAATTTTTTGAAAAAAGTTTTGAAATTTTTTTTGATAATTTATGGCAACAAACAAATTAAAGTAGAGGATATAAAATGTACAACACACTAGAAAACCAAGGTAATATGATATCAGCATATAACATAGAGAAATATAAGACATTCTATACAAACCTCCGGTAACTGAGGAGCACAGTTCTGAAACAGAAACAAAATGCCTAAAGAGACAAAACTGATAGAAATATTTTGGAAATCTACTTAAATAGTAGGTCAAATATAAACAAAAAAGTTATATGTGAATATATGTAATAATTGGAAAACAAAAGGTAAAATGATAGTAGTAGTAAATGGAAAGATTTTTACATAATGGAATACTACTTAGCTCCATAAACATAAAAGTTTGCCACTTGTGATAATATGGGTAGACTTAAAGAATATTGTCACAATTGAAATAAATCAGGTGAAGAAACTGGGTAATATGGCACTCTATTTTTAATTTTCTGAATATTTTTTCTATTTTTATAATGAGTGTGCCAATTTACATTCTCACTTACATTACAAGAGTTCCATCTCTCCCCAATCTCTCTAAAAATTGTTTCTTTGGTCATTAGTACAGGTCAGGTGTGGTGCTATATCACTCTGGTGCTATATTCATTTGTATCGTTTTTTAAATACAAATGAATATAGCACCAGTTTGTTCTTCTTTTGGGAAGGGGTTCGTATATGGTATTGCTCAGGATTTTCTCTGGCTCTGTGCTCAGGAATCACTTTTGGTGAGGTCAGAGACTATATAAACTACTGAGGATTTGAATATTTTTTGATAATAATAAAAAGTGAGCATCTTATGCTTTAGACAAATCCCTATTTAGGTCTTTTGCCCAATTTAAAAATAGTTTGTTTTGCTGTTGTTATTGTTCAGTTTTATGAGTTCTTAATATATTTTTGATATTGGCCTCTTATCAGCTGTATTATGTGCATTGATCTTCATCCATTCAGTAAGAAGCCTTTTAATTCAAATAGTTTATTTTCTTTTCTTTCTTTCTTTCTTTTTTTTTTTTGCTTTTCTGTCTAGACGCTTACTAGTGTGAAGTAGCTCCCTTGTCTTTTCTTTTTCTTTTGTTCCCTTGATGTAGAGATTCAATTTCAAAAATACATCTCTAAGGCAGTTATGTATTTTTTTTTCTTTTTGGATCACACCATCGATGCACAGGGGTTACTCCTGGCTTTGCACTCAGAAATTACTCCTGGCAGTGCTCGGTGGACCATATGGGTTGCTGGGAATCGAACCCTGGTGAGCCATGTGCAAGGCAAATGCCCTACCTGCTCCAGCCCCCTAAGGCAGTTCTAAAGAAGTCAACACAATTTTTTCTAAGATTTGGTAGTTTTAGGTATCTATGTCTATGTCCAAATCTATGTCTAATCCAGGTTGGCTTAATATTTTGTGCATGATGTTAAATAATGTTTTACCTTCATTTTTTGCTTGTACAATTTTCCCATTAACATTTTTTGAAGACACTTTCCTATTTAACTCGTAGCTGGTTATAAATTAGTGGATTTATTTCTGGGCTTTAAATTCTGTTCCTTGGGCTTAATATTAAGTCAAAAATTCCACTGTCCACTAAAGCCTGGTTTCTGGAGGTCTCTGATAACCACATTTCTGTAGAGTTTCCTCTAGGAAAAATAGAGGAAGAATAGAGGACTCTTCCTCCACCAGAGTCCGCCATCCTAGAATGACGTTTCTAATCATAATTATAAAAGTCCAGTGTTCTACCACCAGATTCCCTGATAAATTTTCCATGAGAAATCGACAGAGAAACAGGATGTTAAAGAATTGGTTGTGGTGTGTGGGGCAAGAACATCATTACGGCTTACTGCTGAGACTGGTGTCCACACACATTTTTAAATTAGTCCCTTAGTTGTGTTATTCAAGCCACATAGTTTGGATACCTTGTTATAGAAATTCTCTGAGCTAATGCAGCATACTTGGCTTGAGTGCTTATTTCTTATCCTGACTATATACTATCCGATATGAAGAGAGTGCTTTCAGCTTCTATTGTCATTTGCCTTGTAGTGTCTGAAAATTTTTCAACAGAAGTCCTTTTAAAACTTTTTTCCCATTTTAAACACCTTGGCTTGCAAAATTGTTCATGATGGCATAAGTTCTCTTTTGATTTTTTTCCAGTGACCTTTCATTCTTACTAGTACCTTTATACAATCAAATAATATATAAAAGTTTGAAGTGATTCTAACCAATAAATCATTGATTAAAGAACCACTCTTTCAAAAATTTTATTTATTTTTTATTTTTTTCTTTCAAAAATTTTATTTATTTATTTATTTTTTTATTTTTTAATTTTTATTAGTGAAACACCATGAGGTACAGTTGTAGACTTACAAAATTTTGTGCTTGGGTTTCAATTATACAATGGTCAAATACCCATCCCTCCACCAGTGCCCATTTTTCACCACCACGGGTCCCAGTATATCTCACACCCCCCACCGCCCATCTCACCCTGCTTCTGTGGCAGGGCATTCCCTTTTGTTCTCTCTCTCCTTTTGGGTGTTGTGGTTTGCAAAAGAGGCATTGAGTGGCAATCATATTTGGACTATATTGACAGGAATTTTAGAAAAGTGAAAGCAGTAGAAGACAGAAAAATGACTGTCAAATGTTGAACATCCTATAGATTTTATGAAATAAATTTTATTAAGATACTTCCAAGCCATTTCTTTTATTCTCAAGTATCACCAACTAGAAAAAATACTTTTCTTTTTACTAATTACAAAATATTATTTTGAAAAGTTGAGCACATTTAATTCAATCATACCACCATCAGGTGGCAGCATATCCTCAAATTATGAATTTTCCAAAAAAAAATTTTCTAAACTATAGTATTAAAATAACAATCAGCAAAAACTCATTTATAGAGCATCTGTTATTTCTCAGATAATGGAATATAAACATTTCCATAAAGTGGTTTGTCTCTTGTCTCTCAAGGAGCATACAGAGCGCTGGCAAAGACAGGCATTATGCATAGATAATTTTAATAAATGCTCAATGAGCATATCAAAAATTTGAGAAGGATGTTTAGCCTTAATAGAAGGAGAAAGTAAAATTTCTTCCAAGAAAATAATTGAACTGAGTTTAACATATACAAGTTAGAGGAAAACAGGAAGTGATTAATATGTAGAGTAGTTAATGATAAATAAAACAGGTTACTGGAATCATGTAGGGAAAATTAGCTGTAAATTTCAGTGATATACTCAGCATCACCATTTTTAATATTTACAATACATAATAGCCATGACATAGTAAGAAAAACAATACATACGATCTTTGTCCTCACAAACCATTTTTTCCAATGGATAGCCTTGAAAGAAATAGAAAATCTAAAGCCCAGAAATAATATTTATTTCAAAGAAAAGGCAAGCTGAGTAATAAAATAGTGGATAAAGGTGATGTGGTGTTCCTACAAGGGAGCACCGAATTTTTATCTGTATGGAAAAATTTCATACATATTATACATACAGATATGTATACATACATATAGATCATTCTCATGTTTAAAGTTCATTAGCAAACTACAGTGAAATTTTACTTACCAAAACTTGACCCACGAAGGTCTGTGCTGAAAGCAGCATTTCTATATGATCATGAAATACTCCCTGGATGTGAAGAGTATTGAAATTGCCTTGGTCCATGAATTTTGATAGGATAAATTCCTATAAGCAAGAGAAAGGGTTTGAGAGTGAGCTGGATATCAGAGAAAGTAATCTGTTTTATATATGTGGAAGGAATCACCTGCTGTGTTATCAGTCAGAAATCACCCCATCATGTCCAATCCAGGGAACCCAAAGTTGCTTATTCAGTTATTTCATAAAATGAGTTTCACTGGGTTTGCATTTTACTGTTTTTCTGCATGACCTGTTAATATTAAATTCTGCAGTTTTCATCATGCTTTTATCACACGCACTCAGTCCCAGATTCTTCAAACTGACATTATAGTAATAATCAGGATTGGGAGCAGCATGTTTCTTTCTGCTCAGAGAGCAAGTGTTTTATCCATTTCCATCATTGTACATGAACAAAGGAAAAGATTACAAATTGATTTTTAAGTGATTGCTTAAGTATTTGCTCATTTTGAAAGAGAGAAAGAAGGAATTTCAGCAATGTTATGGTGCTTTTAGTTACTTACCTGGTAGATGCTAGTGAAATTAGAAACTTTTTTCTTTTTATTCTTTTTTTAAGTAGGGCCCTACTCAGAGGTGCTTGGAAGGGGAGAAGGGGTGATATCTTACTGAGAATGCTTGACTGGTGATGCGAGATTTATGATTTGGTGCTCAACCAGAGGTAATCTGGGGTCATCAAACTCCATCCGATGAGGCAGGGGTGTGTTGAAGCAGGTGGTGATTGGTAGATAGATCAAACTACTAGAACACTTGAGCTATACCTCCATACCCTTTAATAATTCACTTTTTTCTTAGAAATTTATAATAATCTATGATCAAGAAAGTAAAGTTGAGTCTATTCTATATTACTTGGAAGACGCATAATTTAATGACTTGAGGAAAGGCTGCAGTTGGAGCCAAGAGTCCCTGTGTATTAAACCTTCTGAATTGACTTCCAGAAATGCATAAGGGAACAGGAAATAATCACACCACGCTTAGCCCCCTGATTCTTAGAAAAGAAAAGCTTATGTGGAATCAGAGCTCTGTAATGACTTAATTTTTCTGATTATATATCCTGAATGGTAAGAAGGAAAGTCTCATTAATGAGTGTTTGAGAGGGTTAATATCTTGGACAATAATCTACCTCTAGTGCGTATCATGTACATTGTCATGACTACTCGTAAAATAATATCTATTGACTTTTTAAAAGTAATATTATTATTTAACACATTTGAATTCCATCATACGATTAAAGGTAGCTTTTATTGGGAAAACAACCATGTAAATTATTTTTATGAAGATAACAAATGTTTAAAAAATGGACATTTGAGTAGAAAATTATCAATTTCCAAATTTTTTTAATGTTTTTGTTTTATTACCCACATTTTTTTAAAAAAATGAGGTCAACATTCCTAAAAAATCAAGGAAAGGAACCAATTCTCAATGTCACTGAATATAAAACAATTGAAGGAGCTGTAGCAATTACACAGCGGGTAGGGCGTTTGCCTTGCACGCAGCCAACATGGCCGACCCAGGATTGATTCCCAGCATCCCATATGGTTCCCTGAGCACCACCAGGAGTAATTCCTGAGTGCATGAGCCAGGAGTAACCCCTGAGCATCCCCAGGTGTGAGCAAAAAAAAAAATTGAAAAGTCTTTTAACTCTTATAAATTATGTTATAATATTCAAAAGCAGAACATTTGAGCATTTTTGTTGCTCAAACTCCACCTCAGATTTTATAATGCTTCCTACTTGAAATTAAATACTATCTTTGGACTGAAGATTTGAGCTATAGCCAATGAAATAAATGAAAAATATAATAAATATTTATGGACAAGTAAGATTTGAAACAAAAGTCTGCCATTAAAAAATGGTTACTACTTCAGGTATAAGTTTAAAATATTTTTTTAATTATGTGTCTTTATACCCCTTTACCAAGTGTATATTATGTCTTTCATGATAATAAATACCTCAATAAATATTAATATTTCTTGTTAAGAATCTAGATTTTTTCCTCTAATTTTTTGTCATTGCTTTACGTCTTTAATCTAGAAATAATAAAACATTTATTTAGCAGCACAATTTTAAATTTCAGTTACAGGTAATTCTCAGATCCAGAAATTGGAATTCCCCATTTTAAATTGTGAATTGTCTTAAAAATTACTGTTATTTAAAATTCCAGTGTTTTATATAAGTGCTTTCTTTGTTTTAAAGGGGATATTTTAAGCCTCCTTTCATATTATGATGTGCAGACAAAACATGTTTTATTTAAAAAAATTACTGCCATCTATCAGAAGCAAAATTTGGCAATCAAAAATAATAACCAAACACAGTCATAATCAAACTCTTTGCCTTTGACCACTGATACCACTAATAAGGCAGCCATTATACAACATTTTAGTTCATTATTTTCAGCCATCTTATTTGGGAAAGATGCCATTGTTCCTGTCATCGTTCTTGTCAGCTATTAGTCAACAGTTCTCATCCTCACAAAGCTTGAAAAGGTCTCTCCGTGAAGGGTTTGGTGGGGGCTACAACTGGAGAGTGTAGAAGGTATGTGTGGGTTTATGTTAGGTTGATATAGTCCAGTGTGTTGTGCTAACATGATATTGGAACGGGAGCTTTTGGATATATGAGTACTTATGCATCATATTTCTAAGTACTTATGCATAATATTTTCTAAGACAGAGGTTCATGTTGATAGTTTTTTTTGCATTACTTATTCCATCTAGATCAATGGTCATAAAATTCCATCATGAATACATAGATATTAGCAATGTTCATGGACTTCGGTCTTGGAATAGTGACTTATTTCCAGAGCCAACATTACTCATCATCTTGATCAGATTTTCACTTCTCCAAACCATGTGAGGTGAACCTGACTTTGTTCCTGTGGCCTGTTTTTCTCTCTGGGGTAGCATCAGCGCCTTTATAATACACCCAGTGAGAACAGGCTCTGTTAGTGTGTGAAAACAGAGTGTAAAGGTAAAGGTAAAGGTAAAGGCCCTCCCGTTGATCATCGATTTGCTCGAGCGAGACCAGTAACATCTCCATTGGAGACTTTGTTGTTACTGTGTTTGGCATATCGAATATATTCTTGGTAGCTTGCCGGGCTCTCCGAGAGGGGCTGAGGAATTGAACTCGGGTCGGCCATGTTGGCTGAGTGAGTGCAAGGCAAACGCCCTACTGCTGTGCTATCGCTCCAGCCTGCTTCGGCAGCACATATACTAAAATTGGAACGATACAGAGAAGAAAACAGAGTGTAGTCAAAATAATTTTTCTAAACACAAACACAAATCAAACCTGTTGCTGGTGTTCATACAGTGGAATCTGAGATAATGAAACTGACCAATAAAACTCCTGTCCCTTTGATGTTGTGCCATCTTCTTGTGAACCTCCACAATATCCTGGAAATGAATAAGATGAAGAGTCCGCCAAAGAAGATCACAAAGGAGGAGAGAATAAATGCAAGTTGGACATCATATGTGCAGTATATTTTCCCTGAGTCTTCGTTACTGTAATTTTGTGCCCTGTATAGAAACATCGGGAAACAGAATTGGAATGGTCAGACTTCTATGATGTCATGAGCACATGTAATCATTCCAGGAGTTAGAGTTCAAAGTGTTGCAGAGTCTAATATTACTGGTATGACAACATATGGTACTAGGAAGAACCCATTCACCACCACAATGCTGATCTTATGGAGTGCTGGGATTGAAATCTGGTCAGTTGTGTGCAAAACAAACACCTTACTGCACTTTCTAGCATACTACTTTGTTTTTTACAGTGCTATATTGAGGATAGTACCTACTTGATAGAATCATTATGGGCCTTCAGTATTTTGAAATCCATAGGAGACATTATATGATACTACATTTTAATTTCTTTTCTGAATGGCTTTAATTTTGAAGGAAGGATATATTCATCTATATCTCTGTCTCTGTCTCTGTCTCTGTCTCTCCCTCTCTCACACACACATATACACATACCCCGCTATTTGGAAAGTTTTGTTAGATTTTCCAAGTCAAAATTATTTTGTGTTTGAATTTTTTCCTGGTCCTGCTTACGAAATGATCAAACATCATGATCAATAAAATTTCCTTACTTTCCAAATTTCTAATATTTAATAGCGTCAAAGTATTTCTGATTCTTTTCCAGATGACGTATAGGCATCTTATCATTTTTCCTAGGCACCATCCTAGACAATTTGATTTTAACAGTCAGGTAATTTGTTCATCTATTATTTTGTTACTATGATGATATTAGCTTTTCTAAGTGAGATAAAAAATGTATGGGTTGTTTCAAAGTCTATTTCCCAACATTCACCTTGAATCTAAGGTGTTTAGCCATCTTCAGTTCTTTAGATTGTCTCAGGTCAAGTCCAATACAATACATAGGACATTTTCTCATTCTTGAAAAACAGAGCTGAGAAGTCAGTGCTCCACACACTTTCTCATCCCCAAAGCCCCAGTCACAGGCCTCCTCTCAGCTGCAAGAACATGAAAATCCTTCTTGTTCCAGGCCTTAACAGCACACCAATTCTCTTCTCAGATGACTCCTTTTTTTTAAATACAAACTTGCATTTTCATGTTTCTATGGAAATGTCCTATCACACCATGGCCATCTTTATAGAAATTATGTATGCCCCACCTCTGTCCCTTTGTTTCATAGCAACTAGAACACTAAACTGCAATTATGTTACATCCTGTTTGAGGGGTTGTTTTCTTTCTTTCATCATAAGACTATGCTCCACAAGATTAGAAATAATTCCTATTATAATCCTATATCTAGCAATATAATTGGCAAGTGCCCAGTAAATCAAATAAACTTAATATTTGATGACCGAATGTTTCAATCATAGATCATTTAAGTGAATAAAACACTGAATCCAATACCCCTAACAAGAAGTGATTCATAGTTCTTTGCTTCATACTTTCCACTGCTCAGTAAACTTTTCATAAAAGAAGTATGCATTTAGCATATTGTATATTATGCGTTGTGGATATATTTGTATATACGTGTGGTGTATGTGAATTCTAACGTGTGCAAATGTTGTCATGGTGTGTGTCTATCTGTGATATGTATCCTGTTCTTGTGTCCAGTGTATGTGCAAATAATGATATGTGTATATGAGTACAGGGTACATGCATTCATGTGTCATATGTAAGTATGGAGAAAAAAGGGCATCTGATTTGATCAAGGGACATTCAGAGTATCAGTATCTTTACTAAAAAATCATTCTGGCTGACAGTTCCAAATGTCATAACTTTTGATTTGGAGATACTTTGTCATAGACGAATTGTGTGGCAAAGGAAAAGCTGCCATTTATAACATGGTAGCAATTCAGTGTTCAGGATTTGGGATGAAGATAAATTTGAAGCAATGTTCTCCTTTGTAATAAGTAGGAAAGCACTTCCTTGAACTTGATAGTTTAAAGAAATAAAACCGCCATTATCAGCATTTGACTTCCTACTACAAGCCAGTATCTTTGTCATCAACTCATGTGCATGTGTTTTTCATGTATCTTGAGTAACTACTGTGTATCATGCAAACCCGGGAAACACAATGACTAAACCTCCTTCACCCCATACAGGAATTTTAGATAACCAGGAAGACACTGACAGGTTGAAACTGGGAAAGCCTTTTCTGCAGGGTAAAAGCATGTGATGGAAGGATGAACCTAATCTAGTCCAGGATGGAGAAACTTGAAGGTAGCTTGAGGATGTCAATTTTTCAGCTGTGTTGGCAGTATGAGAAGGGAAGCAGGCCAGGCCCCAGCCTCAGGTGGAACTGGGGAGGCTGAGGTAAACGTGTTCCAAGTCTGAGTCACTGTGAGTACAGATGAGGAGAGGGGTAGGTGAATAGAAGTTAGCAAGTCAGAAATCAACACTGTTTGCTCCCAGGAGGAGACTGGCTGATAGGCAGAGCCCTGTGTTTCAGTTTCATTTAACAAAACTATGTAAACATTGCCCCAGTAAGGAAGGGAAAAACATAGAAAGGGCTTTAAAGAAAGGACAACAGAGACCTAATGCTGGTATTCAGAAAGATGCGATGGAGAGGAATAACAGGTCTGAAGAAAAGGGTACAATGTATAGGCAGCTGGAGACAAGTAGGACACATAAGCAAAGTTTAAGAAATGGGAATCTGCAATGAAAAAAGCAACAAGGATGTGTGGAAGTGGTACTACATCTCTGATTACTACTTCCGGGGTGGTCCTGCGGTGTCATTCAATACTATGGCTTTAAACTACATCTAAGAAATGGAGATTATATACTGGTTCTGCTACTGAAGAACATTTTACTCTTTTTTAAAAGTAAAGACGAATTTTTTAACATGCCAGTGATTTGATTAAAAAAATGGCTTCACTTTGTACACATCTCTGGAATTTACCTCTGGGCACACAAATATTCTGGAAAAAATTATACTTTCCAATGAGAGTGAATAAATGGTTCATTTTAAAATTTGACTCTCCAAGAGTGTACCATATATGAGCAACAAAAGTAAAATCTTTCATTTTTAAGCATATGTAGCAATGCTCATGAATTTGTTAGCGTGTGTGTGTGTGTGTGTGTATGAGTGAACATGTGAGCCGATTTAGTGTTTCTGAAGAGAATAAATCATATTAAAAATGGTATAATTAAAGGCCTAACCCCTCTGCCACACTGAATGATATAATCCTCTCATATTTCTAGAATCAGAAGTTAACTGTTTACACTCCAGGAACACCCGCTCCTGAGTCTAACATAATGTGCAAACAATCACGAACTCTATTCCCAAGTGTGGGGTGCTGCAGGGGATGACTGGAGGAACAGCTGGGGTCAAGGATGAGCTCCAAAGACTTGACCCAAGTGGATGAGCGGTAGGCGGCTCCTCCCCTGGCAGGGCCCCTGGACTTCCCAGCAACGACTCCCCCTTCCCTCCTCAAACAGCCACATGCAATGTCCAGTCACTATGAATAAAAACAAAATGTCAGGGACCATTGAGCAAGCTTTGTCAGCCAGCCCAGGAGAGTGAGGAACCCAAATACCCTGTTCAACTGCTTGTGGGCTTGTGTGGGAAATCCCTCCCACCCCATAGGAGTTCATCCATGGTTCTCCCTTTTCTCTTAAGGTATATAAATCTAAGCCTGATTGCAATAAAGTGAGTCTTCTCCCTGCAGAGGCTCCCGGAGAGGGTGTCTTGTCTTTGTTTTTCTCTTGTATTTTCATACTTATCCATGTCCTTATCCTCCCTCTAGGGCCTGTCCTCATTCCCTGTCAGGTGAAAAGTGGGTAGGGTAGGGTGGACTGCCACGACCGGCTGTCTTGCCGGCTCCATGGACCCAATGTGTCAGAATAACACCTAAGGTAGTCAATGACAGACCCAGGTCTAAAGTTAAGGGTGAAGATGGTTTTTACCCTCAATGTCCACAGTATAGTGGAAGCACATCACAGGAAGTTTCTTTTGGAGTAAATGACTTCTTGTAGAATTAATGTCTATAATACTTTAGAAATGATCCTTCAAGATGGTACTGTCTATCTCAAAGTATTTGCAGAAATTACATTAATCAATTATTTACCTTTTGAAGGCATCATTTTTTAAAGTGTAACTCTTTAGATTTCAAGGAATAGGGAAGATGCTATATTAACTACTTTTAGAGAAATTTTAATTTTGAATAAATACTATTTAATCCAATATAAAATAACATAATATGAGACTAATATGCAAGGGCAGTCTACAGACAAAGGCCAGAAAGATTGCTCCATGGTTTGGAAGCCTGCTTCATGTGCTGGTGGAGAAGGCAGTTGGAATGAAGAACTGACCACGATGTCAATGATGGTTGGAGGGATCTATCGGGATGGGAGATGTGTGATTAAAGTAGAAAAAGGACAAAACAGGATGGCCTCTCTCTCAGTATCTGTATTGCAAACCATGATACCCAAAGTACAGAATGAGTAAAAAAGGAAGGTGCCTGTCGCAGAGGTGGTGGTGGTGGTGGTGTTGGTAGAGGACGAGGGAGTGGAGGGAGGGATACTGGGGACATTGGTGGTGGGAAATGCACACTGGTGGAGGAATGGGTGTTTGATTGTAGTATGACAAACTAATGTTACTGGTGCCTGCTCGAGCAACTCGATGAGCAATGGGATGACACGTTATACAAGTGATAACAAACTGAATCATGAAAGTTTTGTAATTATCTCAAGGTGATTCGATTAAAAAACAAACAAAAAAAGGATTTAATTCAAGGCTTGAGAGATAATAGAGCTTGTCCCACATATGGATAACCTGTGTTCTATTCCTAACAAATCATATGGTTCCCAAAGGCTAACCATCAGTGATTACTGAGCACAGACTCCAAAGTAAGCCCTGAATACCATCTGGTATGTTCCCAGACTAAAACCAACCAACCAAACAATCAAAACTTTGATGCACATTCAAATCCATTACTGCTGAAAAGGTACAGGTGCCTTTGCCTTCGTCTTATTCTCTGTTGATGTTAAGTGGACAAAGATATTTCACCCAAGATATTTCACCCACCTGCATTATTTCCTCATATCCATGGAT